CTATTCACATTTATCAAGAAATTCATTATTACAATAATTAAAGTTTATCTTTCAATTTTCACCTTTATTTGTGATTAAACAAAAAAAATCAAATGTCTTTACTTTAATTATCATTCTATAGTATCAATACATTTTTTTTATCCTTATTTTTAAAAAATATATATAATAATATTTTCTTTAGTTGAACTTAGTTGTCCTATTCTACCTATTCACATTTATCAAGAAATTCATTATTACAATAATTAAAGTTTATCTTTCAATTTTCACCTTTATTTGTGATTAAACAAAAAAAATCAAATGCATTTCCATTTCTTTAAAAATAAAATAAAATTGAAATATTAACATTTAATGTTTTATTAAAATGGAAAATGAGACAATAAAATCAAATCAACCTTACATTAAAAAGTAAATAACTACTTCCAACCGGAGGGAGTATTATTATACTATTGAGGGAGTTGCTTCAACAATTTAGAAGTGGTATGTTACTTCTTTACTTTAATTATCCATTCTACAATATCAATAAAAAAATTTTTTATACCTTTCTCTCTTGTAAAATATAATAAAATATAATACTTCTTCTAGTCAAATTTATTTGACCCAATTTAACTTTTATATAAAATCTGACCAAATACTTTTATATTGTAAATAAATAACAATTGAAAATTTTTTCTTTTTATACATAGTTCTTCACTACTAGAGGATGGAACATTGGCAAGTAAGTATCAACAATGTACAATAACACATGGGTGATAGTGCCTAATTACCAACTTGCAACAAAATATTGAATGATTAAACAATCAATCCCACCAGGGTGTGCTTACTTGATAATTAGCAATGCAACAACACGTTGGTAAAAGTGTAATCACTAATGTGATATGCCTTGCAATATTTTTCCAACAGCCATAGAATTTAGTAAGGTGATACATGTTAGTAAATTCAAAAATCATTGATGTGAGATGCAATGTTAAATTCCTTTGATAACCAATAATATCCCCAGGTATGCCACATTGATTAATTCAAACAATACCAATGTGACTCAAAATGCTAAAAAGATATACATAACTAATGTCTTTTTATTTAATAGAATGCACAATCAATATATTCGCTCATGAACCCCAGATGCTTCCTCTCCCTCACCTTTGTCCCCACTTTTTCTTGGTTTCTCCTTCACCATAGTTATAGTTGCCTTTCCTTTTTAGACAATTCGGGTGAATAAATAAAGACTGGTTTGTTTTCCTCTCTTTTAAGGGTTTCCTTCCTATTAAGACTATAGCTCTCTCTTTTAGGAATTTTTAGATGAGTTCTCTCTCAATGATTTTTGTTGAATTTTGCCCTTGATAAAGAAGAAAGACTGCATGGATATGGATGGTTGGACTCAATTAGGACGCAGCACTTACTTCAATAGTTAATGACATTGTAAGGGATGGGTCACTGGCTAATCTTTCTACTCCAAAAGTTGTAATTTTCATAAAAAACTTTTCAAATGCTTCAAACACACAATATAGTAGTATTCTCAAAGCTGTTTGCTTTCCTATGGTAATTGTTCTAGGTAGTTTCTAGTATTTGATGGTTGTTTGGATTTAATTTTCTATATACATCATAGCATTCATTGTAAATTAAATCCATATAAAAAATGCTCCAACTACTATTTATAAAAGCAAATGTTTTACCTTTTAAAGCAAATGTTAAAATTACTATGTAGATCTATAATAAAATAATAAGATGTAGTGGATTGGTCCCCAATTGTGATATAAATTATTTGTACTCTCTTCATTCTTTAATTTGTCCCAATTTAATTCTATATGTTTATGGGTTTCTTTATTTTATATTTTTAAAATATAAGTTAAAAGTGTAATAAATATATTATT